AAGAGCCTGGTAGGAGATGAAGAGTTAAGTTGCACATCTAGAAAGCTGGTCCGTAGACAAGCACAAAAGCAGAAAGATGCAAGTAGAGGTGATACTGGGAGACTGGCCTTGGGGCTCAGCAAGAGTAGGGCAGGTAAAGTCTTATGGGTGTTATGACACTGACAGGCCACTGAGTCCAGGACTCATGAGTGTCTTTTAAGTTAAAACCACAATAAGTGTTATGTGAAGTTCTTGTCTGTTTCTGGCTCCTAAACACACAGAGCCATGCTTTGAAACTGGAGATCATTTTAAGCTGCATAAATTTCCAAATGCACCTTTCTGACTAGATTATCCTAATAGACACTCATATAGCTCCAAGGACCCTTTTACCTGAATTCAGATGGAGCAGTCTTCTCTTGGGCAGACCATTCCAACACTAGCAACTGTAAATATGGACAGGGCTCTCACGCATGGCCATCCCTGCGACACGCACCTATGAGATAGAGCTCAGCCCTGGAACTTCTCAGAACAATTCTGGCCTTATCCCTCTTCCACATGCAGTGTCTTCCCCGAGAGGACAGGCTCACAGAATGCTCCCACAGACAAACTCGGAGGCTACCACGGTCTTGTAACCTCCTGTTTCAGCTATCAATTTAGAACAATGCAAGCTTGGGAACTCACACTGGACTCTTATCTCCCACGCTCTTCCTTAGTCCCTACCCTTCACCTAGACCCAGCCTTGTTGCTACGTCCCACCTCAGAGCCAAACAGATTCCTTCGATTAGCAGCACAAGCGTCATTTCCTCAGGAAGCTTTCGCTGAGCAGCGCCCACAACCACAGTCACCCTAGCCTATCTGTCAGAACCTTACGCTTTTGGTGTGTGATGTCTCATAGTTGCAACATATGTAATTGGTTACATCAGTTCCTCAACATCTCTGTCTTCTACGGGAGGTAAGGCCCATGTCTTTCTTACTCATCTTTGCATGGGCATCTAACGTCTGGCTCAGTTTATTGGGTACTTAAACTTTTATTGAATTTTATGGAAGTTTCGCAAGAACTTTTCCAAGAGTTCAACATCGAGTCTACTGCCCTGTAGTTTATGCTTCCAATAGATGATATTGTCCCTGAACAGCGTAACAAATGGTCAGCTTTAGCACAGAGAGCTCGCTGCAGTTTGCCCTTGACACTGCAAATTGTAGACTTTGTTTCCATCTTGCCATCAATATCGGTATTTTTCACCTGACCCTGTAATACAGCATCCCCACCCAACCCCATCCAGTCCAGCCCAGTCATTCCCTTTCCCTGTGGTCAGTGATGTCCTGCACTGTGCACTTACCTTCCATCATGTGGATGCCAATGAACAGGCAAGGCTGTGGGGCACGCCTACCACTGTTATTACCTCATTCGACTGTTTCCCTTGAATAAGACTCTCATTCATGGTGTTAGGAATTCTAGCCCACCAAGTTCCCATATTTTCTAAGTCACTGGACTTAGTTCCCCGTGTCAAAACTTCAAGTCAGCTTTATGTATTACTTATAATCTGTGTATACTCTGAGATCATAAATGCAGTCTTCAATCAGCTCCCCTATTATTTTCCCTCAGGAAATTACTGGGCTCCTCTCCTGCCCCCATTTATTCTGTGCTGTATTGATGGTCTTCTGTAATATCCAGTTTATAGGGCTTCCTCCTCCACCCTGAAATTTCTGTCTAAAGTGTTCTTAATTAGATTGGCGGGTCATCCCTCTCTCTGCTCTATTCACCACCTGGTATTGCACTGTGTCCTTTGCCTCCCGTCATTTCCTTGAGTGAACCATATTTAATGCACTCAATCTTTTTTACTATCTCTAGAGCCAAATGAGTCGTCTCCAATTTCTGTTTCTTCTTTCAAAATTAGACTCCTTACCTCACAGGGGAAAAACATTGAAAATGGCCTATGAGTCAAGGAGTCCCTGAACGTCCTAACCTCAAAGCTATGGAAACATCCCGATAGGAAGGGTGTAAAGGCCACTTGTTGACAATGCCCGACAGATGGTGAGTGGATTCATGAGTCTCTGTGATTCTTCCTACATCCCTGTGCCTGTGAGGGAAGAGAGGTAGTAAGAAAAATAGTAGACATTTACTGAAGATTAACCATGCACTACTAGCTTGATCAGTGTACCGGGAGACAATGCAGTTCTCTATGAACCATTTTTGTTGCCATAGAATGTGTCAAGGTTCCTTTTGGACCAGTAATGGGAATGACAAAACCTGCCCAGTGCTCTGCGGTCTCATATCGGACTTCCAGCTCCAGTACCCTAACCAAGGGGCGTTCAGCCTTTTCTCAGAACTGCAAGTGCACAGGTCATTCTGCGCTTCTCTTCCATGTCAAATTCTTCTCGTTATCAACACCCCTGCTGCTTCTCATTTTCTCCTGTCCCGTTCTTCATGACATCAATATGAAGGGAGAACATGACCGCTCCAAGGTCTGGTTGAGGAGAAGGTTTTTATTATAAATATATATGAGGGAGAGCGCAGCCAGAGGTATCAGTAAAAGTCCACAGCAGAGAGAGGAAGCTGTAGGCTAAACATGACCAGCAAACTGAACCAGGCCATGAAGGAGAGAAAGAGTGGGAAAGCCAAAGAGGAGGAAAAGAGAATGTGGGCAAAAGAGATCAATAAGTGGGGTTGGGGGAGAGAAGGAACCAAGACAATCAAGAGGGTCCATGACCAAAATGGCAGGTATAGGAAGGAGATGCTGGTGGTGTGGGGGGGGGTCTATGAGGTGGAGGAGTTTGGTGTAGGAAGCAGGAGAGGGATGCCAAGAGGGGCCAGGTGCCAGCCTGGACTCTTTAACAGGTACTTGCAATGCTAAGAGACCAGCAGGCTCTTTGGTATGCTAATAGGCGCTAATAGGCACCTTAGCTAGCCATTTGTCAAGTTTCTTTTGGACCGGACAGTGTCCCTTTTGGATGGGGCTAGGTGAGCACAACATCAGAAAATGGGCCACTAGTTTAAAGCATTTAGCTGATGGATACTACAAATATATAAGTTCTTTGTGAAAAACAAAACAAAACAAACAAAAACCTTAAAGGTTCTGTAATAGGGTCTAAACCACTAGCTCCATGTTTAGTACTTATGAAGTAGATGAATGAATAAATAAATTGTTATTATAAATATTGAAGGTTTGCTTTCTTCAACTTCTTGGTAGACATTGCACACCTTGTTATAACTGCAATGATGTAAAATGACTGCTACATCGAAGTCTTTCCAGATTTGAGTTATACCTATAGGTCTTCATCTCTGTCAAAGGAACATCTTTTCATAACACATTCATGTTTTTTCTGTTTCAATCTGACCATCACGGACATAATTAGGGTTGTCTGCTAACAACTGCTTATATCACTTCCTGTTCAACATCCCTTCCCCATTATTGCAAAGACTATTGAAGGTAGAGTCTATGGCATAAGAGGCTTAGATGACATTTTTTGAGGGGACTGCTGGATATCCCCCAGGCCTCAGCTATCCACTCTAAAAGTCATGCTATTCTTTTAATCAATTAGTAGTCCCTAAAGATAAATGGTTTTTTTAAAAAAGTGTTCTCACTCTTGTATTTGTCTGTTCAGGCTGTTCCCTTTGTTTCTTGGATAACACTCTCTGGTCCTTGAAGATTCAAATCGAGTGTTCCTCCCTCGGGCAGCTTCTCTACCAAAGCTCTGCCTGACTTGGATGCTTCTTGTATGACTCCCAAAGCATCCCGCGCTCGCATCGTGCTGAAATTGGCAGCCTTTTAAAATACATAGCTCATCCGTTGCACCAGCTGCTTGAGGGTGGGAACAGTGCTTTATTCTTCAGAATAATATCAGGTCAATACAGTGGCTGAAAAACAGCAGGTGTGTGTGTGTGTGCAGTGTGTGTGTGTCCCTGTGTGTGTACATGTGTGCATGTATGTGCTATGTGTGTGGCCACACAGAGTACGGTAGAGAAAGACAATGGAAACAATCGGCAAATGAAAGCACCTGGTCCTGGAGTCGCTGCCTCCCAGAGGTAGCTGGCAGGCAAGCAAGAGATTGCCAGTGTTGACTGAGTTCTCTTTCTGAAGGCTGGAGAAAAGCCAAAGGAACAGAATATTCTCACACTTAGAGAGACATTGCATCCTAAGAGAGGAGGGGAAGAAATCAACCCTTTAAAAGGGAAAAAGGCATAAACCTTTGGAGAATTACAGGTTGGAGGAGGAAAAAAGTAACTATGCAAATTGCACTATTATTATGTTCCAGGTTTTTAGACCGGTTTTGGCAATTTGACCATTTGACCTTATCTCCGTGTTTGAAGAATAAGGATCTGTTTGAGATATGCACCAGTGTCCCGCAGGCAGAGTTAAGGCCTCAGCAAGTCTGTTTTCTGAGCTTCCAGGGGGTGGCTGGCTCTGTAATTCCCTCACCAGATTGGTTGGAATACAACCAGAGCTTCAACCATGGTCACTGAATGGTCAAGGTGGCTCTAAGTTGTGCCCCACTGAAAAAGAACAGGACAGCATGTATATCCAGCCTCACTCCCCATGGACCTGTCCTTGGAAGGAAAAGAACATTTGCTGAGTGCTTTCCATATGCCATACACATCTGACTTAATTTCCAAATGCCTGCAGGTATGGAAGAATGGGATCATTCTATCATGATGCCATTTTAATTCTCTCCAAGACCTGAAGGTGAGGAAGTAAAAGAGCCAGGATTCAAACACTAGACAACTTAACTCTAAGGACCCATCTCCTTCCATCCTCTCATTACCATATGTCGTTTGTACCCAGGAAGTGCTAATGTGGGCTGAGTATGGCTCAGCTCTAGGCTCTTTGCATGTTAGTTACAGGCAATTCAGTCTCCATAACTGGGCAGAGGTGGGTAGGGTGACATTAATCTGCCTCTTCCCCCATTTAAGATTTAGACTTTTCATTTTTTTTTATCCCCAAAGAAGTACCCACCAAGGCCCTGCCAGGTATGATAGCAAAGTTGGCAGATGACAAACTTTGAGTCATTAGCATCTTGAAGCTCTCCTCAATTGCATCAGTTTGGGTACCACAGGCTCCTAGAATTATCCTAATTGTGCTGAGATTTTCAAAACTCGTCCTCTGTGAAATCAAAAGCAAAGTTATATGGAAATTAATAGAGAGGCAAAGTAGGAGGCATCGTCTATCCACAAAACTGCCTTTGTACTTACAATTGATCAGGAAGGGCAAAGTTATAGAAAGATAATAGCCCCATTTGTTCTCAAAAGCAGGTTCATACCTGTGACTACATATGAGTTAAGTTAGTTTAAACACTGTAATCTCCTTTCATGCATTTTTAAATTTTTAATTTGTGTTTAAAATATTTAGATGGCTTCTTTGTGCCCATGAATAAATAATCTTATATACGCGTTTTTTTGCCCACTTAGCAGGAAATGATCTATATTTTCTTTCTCATAGTGTCTTTCAAATTGCAGCTTTCCCGGGATCTCTGGAGAGGAAACATGGATCTTCTCTTTGCTTCTTTCTTCCTTGCCACAACTCTACAGCTGTAAAGAAATAAAAAAGCGGTCCTTGCCGAAGGGAAAGATCTGGAAGGGAACACTTGTCATTGTGCACATTCCAGAAGGATGGGACAAGTGATGTTGATGTGCTGCGAAGGAAGAAACGATGCCTGGTCCCCAGGACTCAGTAGTCAGCTGCTTGGGCTCCTGTCCTGGTATACCCAAGGAAAGCCTTACCTCTGTTCTTTCTTCCCCAGAGAACTAGATTCTATAGCTATGATAAAAATTCCTCCAAGCCACATCTCTGGGATCTGTACTGAAGGCCAAGGTGCCTTATTGTGATGGAATTCTCCGAGTGATTAGAAGGAAGAATGAAGTCTAGTGGAAGGTGATGATTTGAGGCCTAACACTAACACAGACCATTGGGAAGACAGTCACAGTTCAGTATTCAAGCCAGATTTATTTTTGCACAAGTTTTTCTTAGTTACCAACATCAGTTACCAACAATCACTTCCATGCCCATCCAGTTCAAAACACAGTGTCAACGCGTAATAGCAATGGGGACATAACCCCCCCGTTCATGTTAAAGGGATTTAAAGTCCATTTTTCTGTTGAGAGTTTCCAAGCATCTCACAAAATAAACTTGTGCAGAATGAACTGTACATCCAGGTAATTTAAACTTATGGGTAGAGTTCATGAGTCTAGACCCTACAATGTTCCCAACTCTCACCTTCTACTCTGAACCTCTTCCTCAGCACTCAGAAAGCTACCTGAGGAGTCGCCAACACTGCAGGACTGTCCCTCCCATCAAGGGAGAGGCCTTGTGAAGCACTTGTGCGTGATAATGAAGGCTTTAAAAAATTAAATTTTTTAATGAAACTGTCTACTTATGACAAAGAACTTTATTTAAGAAATAATACAATTAGGAAAGGATAGAAAGAAATATTGTAAATTCTAAAATGGTTAATTTTCTATCTCTTAAATTCACTTTCTTCAACAAAATGTTGTTAAAAACGTAAAGTATTTTCAGTGCAGGCATATGTCCAAAAAGAAAAAAAGTAATTTGAGAAGATGCAAGGAAGGGGACTAGGGGCTCAGTTGGTCAAATGCTTGCAACACAAGCCCAAGAGCATGAGTTGGATCTTCAGCACCCATGAACAGAGCCACATGTGACGGCACACTTACAATCTCGTCCCTGAGAAGTAGGTTGGAGGACTCTGGGGCTTGCTGGCTAGTCAGACTAGATAAACTAGTGAGCTCCGGGCTAATAAGAGACCCTTTCTCAGAAATCATGGCGGACAGTGCCCAAGGATTGACATTGGAGGTTGACCTCTGACCTCCATTAACATGCACACACATGTACCCACCCTGCTCCCCCCCCCACATACACACACACCCATACAAAATCCTAAGAAAATGCGTTCCACATAAATAAGAATATCAATTAAAAATTGGCAGTGTGTTTGGTTAGTATTTATATTAGCGTAATGATATTTAAGCCACTTGAGTATGTGGAAGCACAATGACTTGATGAAATATGTTTTGTTGTCTGTTTCTTTTCATCTTCACAAAGTTCTTATATATTAGATAAGAAGACTCTTTTATAATTTTACAAACAGGGGTTTAGGTTGACTTGAGGAAACTTTTAAATGTCTGACATTACTGCAATGAAAGCGCCTGCACCGTACATGACGCTGTTTGGTGGTGACAGGAGCTGGGCAAGATCTCATGCTGCTTCATCGTGGTTCTTTGCTCCTCCCACAGGCCAGGCTTACTGACACCCAAAGGCGCTGGAGAAGCATGGGGAAGATGAAACCGAAGAGTGTTAGGATAATGTTTAAAGGTATGAAAAGATACCTTAACACCAGCGAACAGTGACAAAAAACAGTGTTTGTCAAGAGACAAGAAGAGACTAACTAATGAGAGGAGAGAGCTTCATGACTCAGATCCCACGGGTCAGAACATGGACCAAAGACCTACATTCTCTCCTATGGGATCCTCTATCTACCGACAGCTCTAACTTTCCAGCTTGTGATCCATAGTCATTTCTTCAATTGTGCTATTATTAAAATATATATATATACTGTTCCTCCTCTGACAGAATCTTAGAATTACATTGGTTGTTGTAAGAAACACACATTAACTACTGATTACAAGTCAATGGTTTAGCTGGCTGGATCTACTGCGCTAAGCCAGACTCACTCACCCGTGTTTTTGGTGACCTAGTGATTTGGTTTGAATGCTAATTCACAGGCCTGGCAGTTTGTCTGATATGGGCTAAGAAGACAGGAGGTGTGGTTCATATACCTTCTGCCCTCTAGAAAGTAATGAAGGAAAATTAGATGGTGAGCAGAAGGAGGTAACACTTTCCACCCATGGTGACATTTCTTTCATTCTACTAGAAAAGCAAGGAAGTCCAATTCAGAAAGGAGCACTCCCTAAGATGAAAACCATACCTGACGCTGTTGTACCTCCTTCAGTCCTCATCAAAGAAGCTTCTCCTTGCAATAGATGGAATTCCCACATAGACTCATAACTGGACAATGTGTAGACTCTGAGAGACCTTGGAGAAGTCTTCCCTAAAAGGGTTGTCTTTATGAAGCATCACCCCTCAGGGTTCAAGGATCTATGAAGAATGGAAGATGGAAAATTTGTAAAAGCCAGCAATAGTGGATGACACCAAGGAAACAGTGTTATCCAGATAAAACAGGACTGACACACATATGAACTCACTGAGACTGTGATAGCATGCACAGACCCACACAGGCTTGAACCAGGCAAAATTCTAGCCCTGAGAAGGGGAAGTAGACACAGGTTCTCACTCCTAACCAAGAGCCCATACTCAGGAGTCAGTTGGTCAACACAAGATGAACTCTGTGATTTCCATTTATTTACTTTTGGAGGAGGATTGTTTTGTTTTGTTTGGGTATTTTTTTGTCTTACTGGGTTTTGTTTATTTGATTTTCATTTTTGGAAATTTGTTGCTTTGGAGAGAGAAATGAAGAGAGGGAATAGTGGGAGATCATGAAGTGGGTGGGTAGGGAAATGGAGAGGATCTAGAAGGCATTAAGAAAGGGAAGAACATGATTAAAATATTTTATATGAAACATTTTTCACAAAGGGAAAAAAACCAGGTAGGGAGGTATAGGCAGACTTTCCTGTCACACCAGTCAGCTCCTAAATAATCACACAGAGACTTCTTATTAATTATTAAAGCTAAGTCTATAGCTTAGGCTTGTTTCTAACTAGCTCTTATAACTTAAGTTAACCCATTTCTATTCATTTACTTTCAGCCTATTGGCTTTGTTACCTCTGTTCCATTTTGTGTTTCTGACTTGTTCTAAATCTGCCTGGCTTCTTCCTTCATCTTCTGGTGACTCCACCCTTCTTCATCCTTCTTCCTGTCCATAAGTCCCATCTAACCTCTTCCTGACTAACTCTTTATTAACCCAATGAGAGAAACACATATTCACAGTGTACAAAAAGATTATTCCACAACAAGGAGGGAACAAAAGACAGGTCTAATCGATTTCTATACATCACATGACCAGTTCTCAAGTGCTTTAACTCTCCTTTCCCATCTCTGGGGATTTCCCTAAATACTGTGTCAAGGTTCCTTCAAACTTCATGATGTAGTCAGTGTGGATGATCCACTCTGTTGATGGGAATTATTCCTCTCACAGTCTTCCTGAGAGTAAAGTTGAAAGAACTGTGGAAGGACATGTAACAACTTGCTTCATCTCTCTCAACGTAACACACAACTGCTTGATAACACCCTTGCATGGGCCAGCATTTTCAAATGAACTATCAATGTCAGATATGGCATGAAATTAAGTAACACAGAAAGCTAAACCAGTATAAATTGTTTTCTTAAGTTGACATGGTAATGAAGGAACATCAAGAAAAAGTAGATTTCTTTTTTGCAGGTTCAAAGGCTGGCAAGGTGTACATGATATTGATCTAACTTGCCTTCTGTTCTCAGAATTAGCATAAAATAGAAAAAGGAAAAAAAAAGTAAGAGGTTTGGACATTCAAACCGAAGGTTGAACATGAGAGTTTGAGTTGAGTAGGCAGGTAATGGTTGGGGAAAAAAAAAGTAGTTTCCAAGTAGGAGAAAATGGGTCAAATTTTTGTAGATTGCAACATTTGTCTCACTCGAGATAAGAGTTATCAGAGGTAAAAGCATGCATTTTTATCAGAAGGAGAATCAGCTCCACCCTATCTTGAAGTGATAAACACTGAGTTGACAATAGAAAAGAAGTCACAAGTCTTCAACAGAAAGCCCTATGAGCCCTCAGAATAATACAGTAACAACCAAAAGATGTGGTCTTATCACTAGCATATAGATGGCATTGAGTTTGTTTCTCTAATATCAAAGGCTTTGCTTAGAGTAAAACCTATCGCTAAAGTCAGATTGACTATTGGAATAAGCATGAAAAGTATGTAAAGGAGCTGAACATCCACTCACAGAAGGGAGTGGACAGTGACCTGGTAAGAGGTTCTGGTTCGTAGTGAACCTTTCCCTAACAGCCATCTCCCAGCATGAGCACCCACCTTCTTCATTAGCCTTGTCTCTGAAGGATCAGTGCAGGTATTTCCAGAACCCAAGTTCAGCTTCGAAAGACACAGAATCTTCCTGCCACTTCATCTCTGAAGGCAATTCCTACATGCTAAGCTAAATATGAACAGATCACCCAAAGGAAGTTCTTTACTTACAATCATTATCACCTGCCAGTGTAGGATTCAGCCATCGATACATTTAATAGCGGCCCCACGGCTCAGTAGTTTACCCTGAAGCAATACCTGGTTGCAGGAAGAACCACGCGATTACCCGATCACCACCCAAGAACAAACCATCCAAAGGAAATGCCTAACGTTCCAACTGCTGTAGATAGGATCACCTGCCAGCACACACTCACCAGGACACCGCTAGACAAATGTCAGCCAGTCAGGGGTGCTGAACCTCAGAAACTTCACTCCCACCTTTACTACTATAAAAACCGAACTCTAACTGAGCTCAGGGCTCTCCGTTTATTCCAAAACTTTGGACATATGGAGAGACCAAGTTTGCAAACTTGCATAAAATAAAGGCTCTTTGCTTTTACATAGGGGACTTAGTCTCCTTGTTGGCTTTTGGAGGACTTCGTGGATTTGGGCATAGCATTTTTAGGACATTTTGAGTAAAGCAGTCTTAGAAGGAAGCTTTTAGATAGAGGCTGGGTTGCTTGTGAACCACCTGGAACAAGAAGACTCCCACTCAGCACTCTATTTAAAGATTTATTGGGGGTTAAAAAAGCCCATCCTGAGGCCAAACCCACTCCTCAGCCTGATTCTAAGCTTGGAGCTTGGAATACCGTCCCGACTGCCTTTGTTGGTTTTTGTCTCTGGCTACTATAGCCTATGGGACAGAGCAGAGTTCCCAGGGCAGATGGACAGCCGCTAAGCCTAAACTGCAGAATCTGGGGCTTTCCAGAGAAATGTGTCCGCTCCTGGCTAAGGCTGTCATCAATATAGATACTTACTGAAACCATCTTTTGTTTCGCCGCCATGCTTCTCTACTGTTATTATTTATAGATTGACCCGGGTATGTCTTACATTGTTTCAGCTTATTTTAAAATCATCTCACTGGAAAAACAAAGCAGAGGTGCAGACGATTACACAAACATGTACTAGAATTAAACTACTATGTGACAAAACACTTGTGTCGCATAAGAAACAAAACACTACCAGGTGCCTTAGACGCCTCTCCACAATCTTCACCTCATGGAACTTCCCTCTCCTCAACGATGCAGCCAGGAGACGGGGATCTTGACCGTTATGGTAATCGTTGTTGGGTTTCAAACCTGGGGCAAATGGCTGTGGTGCCCATTTAACATGTCCAAGAGAACCCGGCCTCCAGGTTCTCCCTGTATCCTCCTAGCTGGCCTGCTCTGAACCCTACCTGAACTCTCTAACCCAAGGGCTGGACTACCCTGCCCTACAGAATCCAGCCATTTTGGTTTCCTGCTCTCTTGGTGCCTTTTTGCCTCCTGGCTGCTGCCTTTGGTTCCCCACTCTCCCCTTCCTCTTCCCCTCCCTCCTCTCCTCACATGGCCCAGCTCAGGGTCATGTCCACTCTGGACTCTCCCATATGTCCCTGCTTCTAACTGTGCTTTCCCTCGGATCCCCAATAAACCTTTTTCCCCATCATGCCTAGGAGCAATCACATTCCTTTCCTTTTTTCTTTCTTTCATCTAATCTTTCCCTACACGAATTAGTTTTAATCTATTTATTCATATGTTTGATATCTTACTCTCAAGGATATCAAATATACCACTTTAATATCACACATACACAGGCACACACACAGACGCACATGCACACAAATGCATGTACATGCACACGTGCACGCATATGTGCACACACATGCACGCACACACACATGCGCGTGCACACATGTTGTAAACACGTACATGTGCGCACATACACACACACACACACACCCTACAACCACCACCACTTGCCTTCCCTCGTAATTTGTCTGCTGCAGGCTCCAAGTCACATAAACCAGAGCACTGCCTGTAATCTAGATCTTTCTCACTGCATGCTGAAAGTACAGTTCAAAAGATTCCTTAATCCCAGGTATCTCCCAACTATTATTAACCGGATCCAAAGACATCTTTATTTGGTTTTTATGTAACTTTTATGTCAAATGCTTCAGCGAGAAAACAAGAGTAAAAAATTACATTTTCATAACTGTGAAAAGAGTAACTCCCAATAAAAGGCTAGACAGAGTGAACTCCTGAGCACACATCTTCTCGTTCGGCCCTAACAAATATCTTTTGGTTTAGATATGAGTTGTTTGGGCCCTCCTTTACAAATGAAGAGGTTAAGCGGTCTGTCCAACATTGCTTAGCCAGGCAGGGAGCTAGCAGCAAACCTTCTGCCTCTCAGGCACATTCATCCCTCCCAGAACTCCCCAGTCTCCCTGGGTGGCTGCTCCAGTTCGGCAGCTTCAATGGCTTAAATGCAGTATATTGGCAATTTAGCACCTGCAACCTGTTGAGTACTGTGTGGGGCACAGAAGATGCAAGCAGACGCGCTTTCAGCTCTCGAGTCGGGTAAAGCTCTAATGGAAGTGAAAAATGCCTACATTATTCAACGGATGACTTAATCACCAATGTGTTATGTGCAATACGGAGAAAAGACAAGGTGCTTGTGGAGTGAGTAATGTGGTCAGCTGGGGGAGGGGCTGGAGGACATTGCTCTTCGCACTGAGAGCTGAAAGACCACTGGATGCAGGGTGTGGTGAAGGCCGTCAGCAGTGCCTGGAGTTCTGATCAGGTGTTTGTGTAGTGGCTGATGTGAACAAGGGGTTCTCAAAGCCCTGAAAGAAACAATTGTTCTGCAAGTGCTGAATCAAACACATGGGCTTGAGCCCAGATAACCCCACCTGCTAGTTACCTGGTCATGGGCAAGATATTTAACATGGGCTACCATGATCCCATCTATGAAAGGGAATGAGAAACAAAAGCAGTCTAGTCTGTTAGGGTTGTTGTAACAAAATGCCTTTGACTGAATGGCTCATAAACGACAAAAGTGTATTTTTACCATTGTGAGAGGCTAGAAATTCCAGATGAAGACATACTCCATCTTTGATGATAGCTCATCCTGGCCTCTGGGTATTGCCTTCTGACTGTGTCCTCACGTGATAAAAAGGGCTGGTGAATCCACTAGCGTGTCATGTCCAAGGCACTAATGTCAATAATGAGGGCATCCTCTGTCAGGAACAAACCACATCACAAACGTCCAACTTCCTGATACCTCACCCTGGTGATTAAGTTGTAATATTTGAACTAGAGGTGACACAAACATTGAGACCGCTCCAACAATCCTTGAAGATTAGAAGATTAATACTACACTGTCCAAAGGTGTTCACAGATATGAAATGCTTAGAACAGGCCCTGGAACACATCCAGCAATATGTAAGTCCCCGCTAAACAAAAGAAAGCGAATATACTCACCAAACAGGGCGGGCTGGCAGGCATCACCTTGTCACTTTTGGCCTTCATCCTAGAAACAGTGGTAGACCTCGAAGGCATTAACAGGAAAGTGGCAGGATCGGAAGGGCTGGAAAAAAAACAAACGCTCAAGACAAGCAACAGCTCAAGGTGAGCATGGTGCAGCTGACCATGCCGCAGTGCGATCTGCTGTGACCCACTCCTGAGGAAGAACTGCCATCAATCACAAAATAAAGAACCGGGTTCAGAAACGAAAGTACCACATAGCTTCGCCTTTTCCACAGCTAAGAAATCATCAGAAATAAGCCCAACACTGAGAGAATAAAACGGCTTAGGTGCCGGGCCAGGGAGAGAACCGAAGTGCGCTTTTTCTGTATCCTTGGCCCTGCGCCTGTGCTCAGGGTAGACAGGAAATACCTGCCTAGGTGCACTGAACAATTCTGCGATGTTTGTGTTGCATCTGGGTTGCAGGATTTTTGTGGTGGCGCTGTGACACTCCAAGCCTGCTAATAAAGTTGAGCACGGGCCAGAGCCAGCGACTAGCTGGCCGGAATTAGCCATAGAGAACCCAGGAATTTGGACAGAGAAGTTGAAACGGAAGGAAAGAGAGGGACTAAAGTTTGGCACTTCTATTGGTTTGGGGAGAACCAAAGAGATATCTCTCTTGCTGTGTCTCCCACCAAAAAGAAAGGTCATCTGGCGGCTAGTTGGCCTCTCTGACATAGCAGGTTTTCACCCCCCACATCTGTCTTCCATGTCTTTGTTGATAAATAGAACAACAGAGACGGAGTTTAAACCTACATTTCAAAGAACCATGGCCTCAGGAGAGGAAGGCCCTCCAAGCCCTGCCTGAGTGGCTGGCGGGGCACTGACTGGGGGAACATGGGGCTGTAGATGATAATTAAAACATATATTATTAAATTCATATGCAGCTGCTAAGCCAACAGAAAAATATCACGTTTGTGATGCTCCATGGTAGGAGAATAACCTGCAGGGCGGCCAGCTGGGAAATCTAACGGTGTCAGTAGCCTTGACTATTAAGACTGCTGACACACACCTTTAATCCCAGAACTCAGGGAAGCAGAGGCAGGTGGATCTCTGTGAGTTCAAGGGCAGCCTGGTCTACCGAGTGAGTTCCAGGACAGCTGGAGCTACACAGAGAAACTCTGTCTTGAAAAACAAAAACAAAGCACGCAAACAAAAAGAGCGATTGTTTCAAATATCATGAACGCCAACAGGAGGCCCAACTGGGAAGGTTCTAGATTTGTAACATGATTTCAGACAGCCTAGGTATCACACAGTCAGCCTAGGTATCACACAGTCGTCTACACAGGAGACTTCAGAGGGTCAGTCATTTCTCGGCATCGATGCATCCAGGACAGCGACAATACGAATACTTTCTGGAGGTGTCCTATGCCTTCTACACATTTCCAAAGCACTAGTTTTAGTAGGTACATTTGGTCTCAGGAACCCTCAGGGCATTAGAGAAACCTATCCTGATGACCTGCTGTCAGGGGACCTCCAAAGAACATTCACGGGCCACCATGAACATGCTCTTTCTCCTGGCCCGCACACCCAGGGAGCCTTTCTCCCTAACTACAGTAAGACTGCATTCCTTCTTTCTGTGCTCACATTCAAACCCCACCGTCATTACTTCCGGTGAGCCCTTGGCCACAGATATTCTTCTTTCACCTGGAGTGTTCGCAGGAAGACCTATTTCATAGGGCTGTGGAAACAAGGCTAAGCTTTGCCTGGTGCCAAGTGCATGGGTAAGAATTCAATTAACATACCTGCAATTACCTTCCTCGAAACTCTGGGACAATGAATTCCGACCCATTTTATACCGCCCCAAATTCTGAAAACAAACAGTGTTAATACACTTTAATTTTAAAAGTGCCGCACAGCACTTTGAAGAGAGAAGGGAACTGGTATTTGCATTTCTAAAAAAACGGTCAGGAGTCACAGCCCAGCAGCGGATCATTTTGGCCTGACCCTGTTGCCTGCCCCTCCCCTCTGCCACCCGAGACCCTGCAGAAGTTGTCCTGCTTCGGCTGGGTCCCAAGTAACTCAGAGAATGACACACAGTCAGGGAACTCTGCCAAGATACACACAAGGAGATTGGAGAGCTGAACTTCAAGAAAAGCACATGGGAATTCTGAGCTAAACTGTGTTCAAAGAAACGCCAAGTTGCTATAGCTTGTTAATTAAGTAAACTTGATGTTCTGCGTAGAGAAAGATCAGCCCGGCAGGCATGTGGACTAGTCATGTGGTTCTCTGTCCCTGCCTCCCTCTTCTCCACAGCAGCTCATATTTAAGAAGGAAACAACAATTTTTTACTCTTGACCTCAAAGAAACGGCAATGCATTCTGCATTCAGGGGCATGAGTTTCGGACTAGGCCTGTAAAAGCCATTATACGGAACAGTCAGTTGTGCTGAGTATTTAACAGGTCAAATCCATTTGCTGTGGTGGCCTGTGCCTCTCTCCCCTCCCCTTTTAAATAGTAAAATAGGTTATTAACTCTGAGAATTCTTTACAACCCCTCTCAGATCCATGCCCTCCTCCCTACACATCCCAAGTTTATGTACTTGTGTTTGAGGCTGTCGAGCAGCTGATGTCCTCCTGGCCCTGGTTTTCAAGCTTCCTCTTCTCTGATGTTCCCTGAGCCTTAATGGTAGAGGTTGTGTTGGAAATACATTAACTGGGGGTATGCACCCCATAGTCACTTAATCTCTGCATTTTGACCAGTTGTGGCTTTCTGTAACAGTCTCCTTCCTTCTTAAAAGGAAACCTCTTTGATGAGGACTAGAGCAGTATTCTGGATTACTCAGAGGATAAATGTTTAGAGTGCAGTTGGAGATTACAGTGGTTTAGAAAACTGTCAGTGCTGGGTTCTTCTCTAGGTTCCATGGCCTCCCCAGACACTGGTAGTTGACTAATTTTATAGTGTCATACGTGAATGGATACCTCCTGGTTGAGCTGGCCTTACATCTCCTTGGGTGGCTATTGGCTGCCCCAGGATATAAGTGCCATTATTGCCCCTTTCAGAATAGCCGGCGCTGCTAGTCATTGAGAGTCAAAGGCATCACAGCTGGGTAGGTCTGCTAACGGGTGTTCTCCCATGGTCCCTTCTGATTCTGAGAACTAGTCCTCAGGCAGTGAGATCCAGACTGATTCCTTTAAGTCCTGTGGCCAAAATGTGTGGTGTCTTTATCATTTGGGTCTTACCTTCTTTGTTTGCAAGGCTCTAAAAGCAATGGACTATATCGTTTTGGGGTTCTCTTGAACGCCCCCACCAACAGCTCGAAAGGATGTTTCCTATGCCTGGCCCTGCCATTTTTGGGTTAGATAGTCTATAGTTCTGGTAGAGTATTGTCACCTCAATTGGAAAAACTTCAACATATATACATGCATAATTTTAAATAAAGATAAAACAATGACTCCGTACATCTTTAATCTCCGCACCCAAGAGGCAGAGGCAGACAGATCTATGTGAGTTTGAAGACAGCCTGAGTTCCAGATCAGTCGAGCTACATAGGGAGCCACTGTCTCAAACAAAGACATTAATCAATTAAATCTCCCTGATTCTCATTTGCCAAAGGCGAAACGTGGCCACTGACATGAGAAACAACTTATGCATGTTGATTACAGATAAATTATCATTTTCAATCAGGCTAAGAATCACTTTTCTTAGAAATCAGAGGGTTTTAGTTTTAATATTTCATAGAAGCTGCACAGATTAATTCTTAATGACAGAATAACCTAGCCTGATGAAGCAACCAGCACACTTATTCACATGGTGATAATTGTTTTTAATTTAAAAACACAAAGTCACCAGCCTTTTATTCTGTTATTTCTCAGAAATCAACGGGGAGATGAGGGAGTTGTGTGCAGGGGAAAAGCCCGGACAGGTCCTCCCAGGCCTCCGTAGTTCCAAATGTCCTACATATGCAAATATTGCAAATCTCAAAGGACCCTCAGATTTAACCATACCGTTTTGCAGCGATCGATCTGTATATGTAACCCTTTGTTGGGATTTATCGAAGAGTTAAAAGTGCACAAATGAAGTTGAAATGTGATTTGTGACGGGGTGGGCTAATTATAATTTCATCCCAGAATGGTGCAGACAAGAGTAGCCAGCACCACACAGTAAGCCTTAAGATACCTAATGTTCAGACAAAGAGTTTACCTTAACCAGGTTTTCAATAATTTCAGGATATCACATCAAACCAGGACCCAAAGCAAGTCTAAGTCTCATAGAAACCTGGTAGACCTAAGCTATTCACAAGGGTATTAGGTAGAAAATCAACCCGAATCCCTGAGTACCCATGAAGGAAAAGGTGTTCCCAACACAGCCACTACCCTTTTCCTGCTCACCTTCAGGGCATACACGGTCGGCTCCTGGATGCAGCTACTACCCCGTTCATTTCCAAAGGCATCGTGGGATATAATTGGGGCCAAGAGCACTGGTCAGCATCTCTGTCCTCTGTCTAACTAGCACAGTGACCAGAGCAAAGCTCTACGTGGGAAAGAGACATTCCAGAAACAAAGGGCTTCTTCTGTAAGGAAGAGGATGAAGATAAAGAGCTCTCACATGCTCAGCACAGCGTTTTTTCAAGAAGAATGCTCTAACGAGCACATTTCTAGCTTCTGCTAGAGACGGAAACAAGAGATCGCCAAGCAGGACTCCGGTGACTTATTTGTCCCAGGGGACTCAGCTATCTGTCTAGCTTAGGTGAGTCACTCACCTCCATATTTTAATGATGTCTACCTTATTTAGCTGAAGAAACAAACATGGGGTTGAAGTATTCGAAGTGGTAAGCATTTTAACTACGATTGTGATCACAACGTTAACGGTAGCACGGAGCACTGTTTGTGAGCATGTGGGATTCAGTTGTTTGTGTTGGTTTAATTTTTTTTCTCTCACTTCTTGGACATGTTCTTTAACCATCCTTTTGACACAGTCTCCTCATGCCATAAAATGGGGATGGGAAATCTACTCTCCATCTTACCTGATTTGATCATCTTTGTTGATAATGTTACGCTATATGTTCTCCACAAAGAACAAGTTCCTTCTCTTCTTTCTGCCAGTACCTTCCCAGCAG